AACGTGGCGTCACAGTAGTCATGTGACTCGCTGACGCAACAATATATATACATCTGTTAACTCGTTTTCCGTTTATGATAACCGCGAAACAGTTCCTATCGGTCTGGTTAATTCCATTTTGTTCCATCAGTTTCTTGTAGTGTAAACTACTTCGATTTATTCAGTTCCTATTATAATATTGTTACGTCTCCGTTCGTTAATTAACTTTCCGTAACTTCGTTCCGACGAAAGTTTAGCGACACAAGTCCTTACTTAATAAAACTGGTTTATTCTTTCCGAATACAACTTTACGATACACTTATTTTCAACAGTCACTCTATAACAAACGCTATATCAACGAACGTCAACAATACTTCTGACTGCAGTTCAATTACTCACTGTCTACACACACATTATTGTCCGGTCACGTTGTCACCCTCTTATATATACCAGGCTACCCTATATCTAGTAAATGCTAGAGCATTCGCCAAAGTACAGGATAGTTCTAGAAACGTGGCGTGACACTAGTCATGTGACTTCGTTGACGCAACAATATGCTAATATTGATCATTTTCTAAACATAAATTTTTTCTTATAATCATCTCTTAGCATTAACGTGTAGTGGACAATCTATAACAAGATACCCATTAAAACATCTGATACAATTCATATTATAGAAGTATTTCATGCCCATTTAATAGAAATTAAAATCTAATTTCATTTTTTATTAATACGTCAACTCTACATAGCTGAGGGAGAGAGCTAGAAGTGTTTTAGTGTCAGATTATCCAAAACAACGAGTAAGTTGGAACAACATATTAGTTTTAACTTATAAAAGATCTACAGCCTGAATTCTAGTGTGCAGTTTCCAACAGTATATTTTCTGTCTAAAGTTTACTTTTCATTTAATTCTGCTCTAGTTATATTTAGTTTCAACTAGTACCAGTTTCCTATACTTACATCTGTTTACTTTTTACTTTGCCATCAAATTACCAACTTAATTATATATATTTCACTCCGTATGGGTTCCATATATTGAGTGATTTTATTTTTCTGCGTCTTGCAACATTCAGTGTAACGAACTCTCAAAAATTTTAGGGAAGTCCCTAATGTTCCATGAAACATACATAGGAAGCCAAAGCAGTAATTTCTAGGATTAACTGCAACAGTTTTAGTATTTCCTGTTTTTATAAGAACCCTGTAACCAATAAAACCATGGACCCGCAAGTAATGAATGTGGTGTATAAGTAGTTTAAAAAATCTAGACCTTTTCAGTAATTCAATGGTTAACTTATGAATAAAACTGTTTTTTGTTTGTTTTCTTTATTTATGCCTGATCCTAGTCTCCTCCTTTTCATTTATACTTGGCCAAAATCAGCTATACTTTAAACCTTTCATAGACCAAGTCTTCGATCCTTTTATTATATGGCCCATCCTGCCTGCAGTATGCTTCTTATTCCTCTGGGGTAAGCAGACTTACCACGTATGTTCTCTCTCCTTGTTTAATATAAAATGTTTCAAAATTTTGAAATGTGCAGGCTTATGTGGTTCCAACACAAAACATTGGTCATGAAAATTGCTAAGTTTATTTCGCTCTATTGTCATAAGTCATTTACCTGTGATATCACATGCGCTTTCTTCTGGAAAATATTTCCATCAGGTTGAACTTCCTAAGCAGATACCTCCCACAGACAAGTCAGATGATACCATACTGATGTAGCGTCCCTTACTGTTTTATACGAATGACCAAAAATCGCGTGGGTACCGAATGACTCCAGTGAAAAATAGAATTGTGATTTTGTATATGTGCACTGAGTGATCACAAGTAAATAGACACCTTGTGACCACGCTGTGTATATATAATGCTGTTTTCTCAGTCTGAATCAGTTTTAAAGAAAGATTTTTTAAAGCTCGTACATACAAACTTCCAGTAAAGGTGCTGTCTTCGGTATGCTCATGTTGTTTTTAGTTTTGTTGTTTTGTGAATTGAATAAAGATTGTTTCATTTTGTTACACGCTGTGTTAAATCTCTTTCATTCTTCAAACTTACTTAAAGTCAGAAAATTCATATTTGCTCTGTATTACATTTTTGCCCAACATTCTGTTATTCTGCGGAACCTATTCTCAGGAGAAATCAATGTACCTGCACATGAGAATACCACAGAGAAGGTAGTAAGGAGAAAATTTGGTGTCTGACCATGGGATTTTTTTCACTCTCTTTTTTTCTTTCTGTTTTATCCTGACAATTGTATTTCCCCGTACTCTTTTTAACTTTAGGTTTTAAAGGGCTTCGTTCTTGAATGGGTTGAACAAACGTCCCAGTTTTGCTGGGATAGTTCTGTTTTTGGGTAGTTTGTTCCTGTGTCTTGAGAAAAGTTCTTGGGACGCTCAAAACGTCCCAGTTAAATGATAAAGACATCAAACTGTCCACTTGACTTGCTCATTGTTGTAACACGTACTCTTCTGCCCTCAGACTCTTTCGAAGTTCCGTCTCTGCGTAGACCAGTTCTGAATGTGGATACAGTTAATTAAGGCAGTGCTCATGTTATGTGGTGTCATTCAATGTACCTGATGATGATAAAACCTTGTCGAAACCTTGTACATTTGCTGTTATGTTAAACTTATATTAAAGTTTCTCTTCATTACCCATTCAAACCGTCTCCAGCCATTATTAGTCTCAAAGTGGGTTCCTCTTCATCGAATTTGAACACTTTACACAGTCATGTACTGAATTTTATGACCATCTAATGAAAAACAGAACTTCTACGTTCCATTCATTCTTCACAAAAGTATGTCAAAAGAGGCTCAAAGTAATGCTAAAACCTAAAAGTAGTATGTTAGAAGCTCCCAGTTGTACAGCGGTATGTCTTCAGACTTACAACGCTAGAAACCGGGTTTCGATGTCCGTGGTGAACAGAGCACAGATAACCCTTTGTGTCGCTTTGTGCTTAAACTACTAACAAACTGTTATTGATTCTTAATTGAATCCAGGTATGAAGTAGACTGTTTTAAGATGAATAATGTATAAGTTGATTTTTTTTGCTCTTTTTATGTGTGTGTGTGTCTATCACCAAAAAAGCGCTTTAAATTATTTCAAAAACAATGCCAATGTTAATGTATCTGGAAATATTTTAGGAGAGTTCATTAAATTTAAAGTAAATTAAATAAAAGTAAAATTATTTCAAAGTTGCAATAACCATTCTAAAATTAGGATGCAAGAGCTGGGTTGTCCCGGTTTGGAAATCTGGACACCTTATTTGGCCTATTCTATTATTGAAGTCTCCCCTCCCAGTGGCTCAGCGGCAAGTCTGCAGACTTACGACACAACAAATCGGGTTTCGACCCGTGGTGGTCAGGGCATAGATTTTGCGTTTTACAGCAACCAAACCTTCTTGAAGAAATGACATTTTAGACCATGAGTCGAAAGACCTACGACCAATAAAAAAAGTTAGTCACTAATTGGAGACGGTTGTCTATAAGAGAAGTTGTGTCTTAGAGAAGTCGTCTCCTGGACGTCGGACTTTCGCTGATGCTGCGTAAGTCTATTGAGCTCTCTATCGCTGCGACCGCAGACTGAGGAAAGAGAAATGCCAGAATGTTGTATACCTAGATCGCTTTATCAGGATCTACCCCTAAGGATCGATCTCAGAAGAAGGAAGGCACGGACAATTTTTCATAAATTATTTGGCATTTTCAGTAATGAACAACACCTTCTGTGATACACATGCTGATCAATCAGGTCAGAAAAACTTATTATCTTTCTTAAAGACAAGAAACGTTTATATTAAATTTAGTTTTCGCTGATTATAGTGGCGCTGCAGTAGCTTTCGTTCCTATGTAAACAAATGACGCAAACTCCATTTTTGTCTATCACAACCATGGCATAACAGGGAATTTGTTTGACATTGGCCAATATCGCTGTTCTGTTAACCACCGTGGCCTGATAATTCCACATAATAATTTACTGCGGCTTTAGGAAGAACACACTTAAAAAACACAAAGCCATCCATTCACATTTTAAATCCAGTTATTCTTGGCCTATTGTTAATCATTGAAAAATCGCGTAAATTCTTTCTCCGTAAAACTAGTTTCAGATATGTAATTTTTTAGTCTTAAGTTATAAATTTGATCTTGTTTTGTTAATTTAAATAAATCATGTTTAATTTATAGTTGAATATTGAGTCATAATCATCTGTACTTTCTTAAATTAAGAAAACATAACCGTTAAGTATTTTATAGATCAATTTATTAATATTTGTCAGTATTGAAAAATGAAATTTATAAAATGGCGGTAAAAATGGTGGAACAGCAAAACTGACCAATGACAAGCTCAAACATAAATTTCATATTCTACTGGTAGGGATTGGCAAGAATACAGGTGGGCGGCTCCAACCGTTATACTGCAAATAAATTTTTAATATCAATTTAAGTTTAACCTAGATTAAATGTGTAGTATTAAAAGTTTACGGTTGTTCGTTATTCCATAATTTTTGGGTTAGCTTAAATTTTAAGAGAGAGAGAAAACTTTTAAATACTGATATTGTATGTAACTTTCACGTTTTCTTTGTGCTTTAACCCTTTTGGTAAGTACATTTGTATTTTTAAGAGTAATGTGAAATTATTATTTCTCGTGACATTATTATCAATATTACTATTAGGGATAATTAGCGTAAATATCTCAACCATCGTATCTTACATTACAGGTACGTTTACAATGATCATGTTTTTCTTCTGTCCATGTAGGCGACATATCTTAATATAAAATACAGTTAAATATAAATTATATATATAACTTATAAGATTAAGACAAAAATAACAAACCCTATAACCCAAATGCTTTCGAAAGATAGACCTTTCTGCATTAAAACTATAATAAAAGAAAGGTCTGCCTTTTGTTTTGAAAGTGCTTGGTGGTAAAGGGTTTCTTATTTTTGGCTTACATTTACTGAAAAGTAAAACATGTTTTCTTAATGTAATGAAATTGAAATGAAACTGAAAGTATAAGTATAATTTTGCGAAACAACAATACCTTGTGGCTGTGTAGTAATAGCGGATCAAAACGTGTCGTCAATAGTTATTATTTTTATAAGTGTATTCAACGTACCTCCTTCATCTACCCTTCACTTAAAAAGTGTACAGGTAACATATTTTGGAGTTTGGCCAAAAATCAGTCAACGCAAGTAACATCACATTCTACAGCAGAGTATTTCATAAATTCGTAAGGTTTATAAATAAGCTTTGTAATACTATCGACAATAAATTATATATAAAATATGTAATTATTGCATACAAAACATGATCAAGAAGAGAGCACCATGAACAATGCAACCTACTATTGGTCTCTTATATGCAGTTCCTAGTGTAGGGCTAACATAGTTAAAAAACAAAAGTTTAATAATTAGAAAAATGAAAATATAGACTCCCATACTTAACATCAAAATTCCATCATTTAGTGTGTTGTTATTAATGTATGTCAATTATTAAAAAATAATAACATTTTCTCCTCCTCCCATTACACACAAGTGTACGTTGTTTACTTTTGTGAAAAAGCTAATAATTACGGACGATCCCGTAAACAAAAAATAACTGAGTAGAAAAAGCGAACCAAAATGTGTTACAAAATTAACTGTATGACTAAATGAAAATAATCTAAGGTTTTTACAAAGGTGGAAAATATTAGATTCTGTATTTCATCTGTGACGTCTGTTGAAATTACTTAATGGTTTAATTTCTGTTGTGCATAAAAGACACGTTAATATTAGAAATAAACGACCTTATATTATAAATTTAAAAAAATAAATTTCGTGTTATAGCAGTAAAAGAACGTTTATTTCTAGTAATAGTTATATTAATTCGTGGTGTAATTACTGTACATTACTTATATCATTAATTATGATTTTAATATAAAATAAGACAGATGTTTAAACATTACAAAAATAAATGTGTGTGTGTATGATTATTTTAATCTGACACATTTCTTTAAATTACGGTTTTAACACCAACAAGGTTTTGTATCTTAACTTCTGGAAACTATGGTAAATCAATAATTTAACTTTTAAGTGCATTTCTATTCTAGGCCTAGCCGGTTTTTTTTTTTTTTTTTTTTTTTTTTTT